ATCAAGGCACAGTCAACTGCCTTCATAGAATGAAATCAATAGTAAATGTTTATGAGACAACGACAACAAGGCCTTTGTTGTGTTTCACAAACCTGTTATGAAGTCATTCCTATATTCTAAAAGCACACATGATATGATCTTCAGCAAGGTTCTAGTGTGATTGGGCTACATGGCTTTTATGCATATCTGTTTTCCTGAAAGGAGAATAGCAGCAAAAATATCCAGAGAGGGAGGGTCAAAATCAACAAGATGATGCCTGGATGGAAGCCATATCTCTTTGAAAGTGCATCTTCAACATGGGCAAAGCTTGTGATGCAATGATGTTCCTTCCACTCTCTTGCTGATTTTGATCAACCACACTAACAAATGCTGCTGAGAAGCAGCATAAGGAATGTTTTTAGTTTAAAAAATAATGGATCTGTGCACATTTCAGATTGCAACTTCTATACAATGTACTTTAGTATACATTATTTTCAACAAGACAACAAGCTTTCTAAATGACGCCTATGGATATCAACTGGACCAAAGCAAGGAATTTTCCTTTCCAATGGGAGTGGTTTCGGGTATTAAGTTTACAACTGTTTCCAAATTATTGCATCTAGGTGACATTATCAAAAACATGCTTTTACCCTGGGAAGGTTTTTCCCAAACAAGAAATATTCTGATTGTATTATGAATTATTAATAGCTAGGAATAAAGAAATATTTGGGGACATGGAAAATTACTAAGAAGGCATGTTGCTTTAAAAATAGAATTTTAACTTTGGACTCTCATTTGGGGTCACTAAGCCTATGATGTAGGATAACAATAAGGAATGTACTTTTTGGTGTGTGAGACTTTTCTGAGAAGTAGTTTTATGTTCTAAATATAAGAAATATCTGAAGCAAGACAGAAAATCTTGTAAACATACATTCTTGTTTATTCAACCAGTGTTCTGTTAGTTTTCTGTTCTCTTAACAATAGCAAATCTTGACAAAGCTAACCACCAGAAGATGATTTTGGCAGCAGTTGGGTCACAATTCAGTTTTAAATAAAATGCATTATTTCACCTGTCTTGGCCACCAAAACATACAGTATGGAGATTTGCAGATTGCTCTATCTACTGAATCTCTTATGCTATTGTAGGCATAGAGTCAGCAGGAAACTTTGACACCATGTAACATCTGCACTGCCACACTGAGATGTGTTCAGTGCTGACAGTTTGACAGAAGCATAAAATAGGTTGTCTGAAACATTTTTATATTCTACCATGAAGACAAATTTATAAGGTCTGGTTAGTGGATACATTGCAAGGTAGGATAAATGAGATGCCAAATAATATTTTATACTCTTCTGGTATCAAATGGAAAATTAATAATCCAGATAAAAGGTCAAGAGGCTGGGGGACTGGGACACATAAACTTCATTTTATTCATGACAGTATATTTCAACATCTTTCAGTGAAAGCCATAGGGATATAGTTTGACAATATTTCTCCTTTTATTGAATAAATATTAATTCAAACTTATTCTAAGACCTTGAATGCACAAGTAGAAAACTTGTGAGAAGATTTCTCTTCACCTGTTTAATTAATACTAACAACTATTCTAAATAGAATTAACTTTAAATATGTTCTTTAACTTAATATTACATTGCTAAGAATCTGCTTACAAAGAACAAGTTTATTTGTATCTCCATTAAAGTTCTTTGCAGATTAAATATCAAACACAGCTTTAGGACAGTGATAATTATAACATTTTGAAAAACTTTACTGACAAGTGCTTTAGTCCACCTAGTATTTTCTGGCCAATAAGATCAGCTATCTGTCATTGCACTTTATGCCTACATAGTGTCAGTTTGCAAATTGTACATTTAGTGGTCACTCATCTCATAGAATCATAAAGAAACCTCTAAATTTTACATTCAATTTTGTTATTTGGCCAGTCTGGTGTCACTACCCTTAATGATAGGAATGGACCATTTGGTTGCCACTTCTTTCAGCAAAGTCAACATAAAAACTATTTCTGTATAATATAAACACTGCTGGCTGAGCTGCCATAAAAATTCAGACACAGTTGTGAAGGTTAGGTATCTTCCAGACTTCTTTGGTAAATTCCCATGAGAACGCAGAAATACCATCTCTGCTGCAGGCTGCTCTGCTGCTGGTGATAAAGTAAATTCTGTTCCAACTGTTGTCTTAATCGCATGGTAGCATTTTGCTACAAATTATTTGCAAATTATTTATAAATTTATGTATTTACAAATTGTTTATTACTTGTACTTTTGCACAAAAAAAAAAGCTGAATCAAGGTATTCTCTAGATAGTGGAGTGCCCTCAGGTCAGAGACCTTCTCCACTAACAAATATGAGATCTTCAGCTTCACTTTAAAAGAGAGAGAGAGAGAGAGAGAGAGAGAGAGANTGTGTTTTATCCCTATAGAGACAGTACTCTACTTATGACTGAAATTAAGTCCTGAATTATGGTGGTAAGTCATTAAGCAGGTCATCATGTGACTGTGTCCTATTTTATGACCTTTTGGGTCTGTTGTTAAGTGAATGTTGCCATTGTTAAATGAGCACCATGATCATTAAGTGAGCCCATTATAATCAATGGACATTTTTTGCTTGAAACCAGAAATAAATGCCAGCTTCATGAAAAAAATCCCCATAAAACACACATCATATAACTGTGGGATGCGTAATTGACCATAAATGTGGACCAGTTGCTAAGTGCCCAAAATACAATCACATGACTGCAGGCAGGACCAGCTGACAGAACTTCAAAACTTGTACGTAGCTCTGGGGAGATTGAATAGCTGCTGAACGACCAGTCATAAGTCAAGGCCACCTGTATTTTATAATGCTATGGCAGACTCTTATAGAAATAATATTAGCAATCTCTACAACTGAGGCAAAGGTCTTTTTGCTCTTGCATAACCACAAACCACAAAAGATGGGTTCCTGAATATTCTGTCTTTTTATCACTTTGACCAATCTTCAAGGCTGACCATGCATAGTCCGCAGCAATGCAGATAAATGTTGGGGAAGAGTTAATGTTGGATATTTCTTACATTTATTGAAAAAATTGCCTCTGAAAGCCTTATTTAAATATCTACATCAAAAATACCCAGGAGATTTTTGCTAGTCAATAAGAATTCGAAGAATGTTGACTGGCAATCATGAAGAAAGTTCAGTAAGTTCCAGGTTAAGAAATGCTAAGTTATACCACTGCTTTAATTGGAATAAGGCAGTTCTGTCTGTTATTAGGTTCCATGAAACAAAGAGAGATAATGCAACTCCAAGAATTATAATCAAGAACTTGATAACTGTGGGATAGATTAGCACTTGGCCAAGTATCCCCTTTCTTCAGTGATCATAGATTTTTTGAAATTATCAAATTTGACAGTTTACAATCTATAAATGAATTATAGTTAAATCATAGTACAAAAAGCTCTAAATAAGCCCAGAAATAGTCTTTTCTGGATGTTAAAAACCTCATTAATGAAATATTTCCACTTCCTGGTTTAATGAACATATCCCTTCTGAAATAGTTAATACGTTGAATCCAGTCTTGAAAGGGTTTATGCTCACAAATGCTCACAGTGCAGAAAATCACTTTCCTATATTTGTGCCATAGTAATGCCTAATAAGGAGATACATTTTCAGTGAGATAATTTACAGCCATGGTTGAAATGTAGGGATTCAACACTCACTAAAAGCACTTCTCAATGATTTCTTCTGACAGTATTGTCATTGTTGTGCATCTTGCAACAAATAACATACACTTTTGCGTATCTTTCACGTACATACAAGCTGAAAAGTTGGAGGCTCATGGTTAACAAACTCATGCCACGATCAGCTTACTTTATGGATTATGGCAAGATGTCTCTTTACGCCAGAAACATACAGTATCTGAATATGGGAATAATGGTGTCATTCCTTAAGGGGGTGGGGTGTTCTACACCTATTGTTAAGTAAATATGTAAGTTAATAAATAAATAAATAAATAAATAAATAAATAAATAAATAAATAAGAGGTCCTTTCTGTGAAATAGTAGCCCAATATTGCTTAAAAACAATTTCTCTTCCACACTTGTGTTTTCCCCCCGATGACTGTAGTTGAAAGAATGTGCATGTACAAATAGCCATTATGAATGCCACCCTCAATGATATCTCAAATACAATGTTTCATAATAGAGCACATATGCACATTCAGACATTGTAAGGAAAAGCAAAAAAAGCACAGGCATGTATGAACTTGTCCTAAGTTAAACCATAGCTACAATAATGTAATAAAGAATTACTGTAAAGCATTTTGCAAATCAATTGGTCCTGAAGCAACATATAAGATACTACAAAACTGATCTGAGAACTTTCCATAGTGAGAAAAAAACCATTTTGCTGGAGAAAAAAATCAGTATGGGATCATGTCCCATGTTTAGGCCTATTGCAGATTTTTTTAAATTTTTATTTGTTGAGTTATTTAAATTTTTGAGGTTGGGAAATCCCATCCTCAAAAAAAATCTCCCCAAGGATATTGGTGGAAATTAAGCAATCCTGCCATTCTTTCATATGTCTGGCCAAAGAATGATATGAGACCTGTTCTAAAAATATTCTCATTGTAACCAGAGGAAGATAAAAATGTCTTTGTTTTAAAGAGAAAAGGAAACCAAGCAACCAGTCAGCCAGGAAATAGAGACAACCTCTCTCCCCAGCCCTCCAACATCTCTAGGTCTTCTTTTTTGGCCTTCCAATCTGCAGCCAGCTGGGTACATGGTAAGTTGGCACCCTGTGATGCTAAATTCCATCTAACTGGCATTCATTATACATATTAAGCATATCAACTCAGTAGATTTTATTTGCAGTAAATGTAATGCAATTAGATTGTAAGCCTTGCTACCTTTCAAATAAATCACTCTAACATTACTCTTTGCAATATTTGGGATCACAAGAGGCAGCTGATTGCATTTTCCACATTGCTTGCACAGGGAAGCTATTAACATTTCCGTAGAAAGTCTTACCAGATGTGTAGGCAACTGAGCACCGCAAAGAGAATTCCTGCAACCAGGGCCAAGGGAACAGCAAGGACAAGTGTCAGGAGCTTATATATCAGGTACTTGCTGAGCTCAAAGAGAGCGTGGCTGCAGACCCAGACTTTATCGAAAGAGTGAATGGACGAAGGTTCTGCTATCACGTCCTCAAACCCCAGCTGGAACAGAGGGAAACAAGCATGAGCACAGCAAACGCAGCTTCTCTTCTGAAATGCAGAGTGGGGTCTTCACGGGGAGGGTAAGCGCCAGGCAACAGGCAGTAGTGACAACCTGTTACAGCTTCTGTCATTGTTCGGAAAGAATCTGTCTGATTGGCATGGAAGGGTTTAAGGGGTCCCCAAACTTGGCAACTTTAAGACTTGTGGGCTCCAACTCCAGCATGACTGGAGAATTCTGGGAGTTGAAGTCCACAAGTCTTAAAAGTTTGCAAGTTTGGGGGACCCCTGATTTAGAAGCCCGTGGATTCAAAAGATGGGTACGATCTACAACTCAGGAACTACCCCTGAGCCTAAACAAACGGGCTTTCCTTTTCTGAAGAGCAAGGGAGCGAACGAGGAGGAAACCGGCACCCTAAATCAGGGGGTCTTCAACCTTGGCAACTTTAAGACTTGTGGACTTCAATTCCCAGAATTCCTCAGCTTGAGGAATTCTGGGAATTGAAGTCCACAAGTCTTAAAGTTGCCAAGGTTGGAGACCCCTGCCCTTAAATGACAGAGCAGAGGAATTCTCACAGGCTGGAATCGGGATGGGGAAGGGCGGGGTTGGAAATTCCACGCGCTAAACTCGCCTTCAACGGCATAAAGAGAAAAAAAAACCGCTCCACTTCCTCGAAGGGGGCTCAAAGTGCGAGGACGTGGGGTCCAACAGGAGATTCCTGATCTCCGCGGGGATCAGGGAGCCGTCACTCACCTTCAGGTGGCTGTTAAGTCCGCGCGGGTCCCGGTCTGGCGCTGCTTTCTCCGAATTCTTGCCGGTGTCGGACGGCGCGGGGCTGTCGCTCCGATCGAAGCCGTCTTCATCCATGAAGATTTTGGTGTCCGCTTTCTCTTTCTCCAGCCCCATGACGGTCGCTCGCCTGGGCAGCCCGGCTCTGCTGCGGAGCAATTCCTGGGCTGTGGCCTCCCCCACCTCTCGGTGCTCCCTCCTTTGCCCTGGGCTCCTACCCTCGGGTGCAGCTGGGCAGGCGAAGCCAAGGGCAGACCTCGCCCTCTCCGCGCGAGTTCGGCTGCCGCAAACAGGAGCGGCAGAGCCGGTTGGAAGTGGCAGACGCGCCCGCTTGGCAGCCGCGCATGCTCGCAAAGGCTGTGCCTGAGCTTTTGACAGCTAGTTTCGTGGATTTAACTTTATCCCAAGACTCCTATCTCTATAATCCCAAAGGTGCTTTTTCAAGGGGGCAATTTGACACTCTGGTTTTGCTTTGAAGACGTTTCACTTCTCATCCAATTGTTCTCCAATATTCATGCTACGGGCTTATGAAGTGGCTCATAAAAGCTTCCTAAAGTGGTTCATAAATGCTTCATAAATGCATGGCACAACACAGGTGCCAGCGTTCCAAGTATCATGTAGAATTAAATCAGAGACCAAGGCAAAACTATCCTTAAAGTTCCAATTTAATAAATCAGATATTTTGGCATTATGCTATGGAATCCCAATACTGGAAATGACATCACAATTCCACCCAGGGTGGGTATGGCCGGCTTGATGCTGCCTCCTATGCACATGCACAGGGGAAGCGCCCACTTGGGCTGGGGTGGGCCAGGGCCACTTTCTGGTTTATTGTCCACCCACAAGGTCCAGATTTTGCTCCCTTAAATCTTGGATTTCCTCCCTTAAATGGGATAATTGAAATGGAGTAGAAATAAATAAGATATATTAGAAAGAAAAGGAAAAAATATGTAAAACAAAGGAAAGGAAAAAAAGAAAAGCCTAAGGAGGGGATTGAGAAGGAGGAAAGGAAAGGGAAAGATGAATTGAAAAAAGAAAAAGGAAAGGAAGGGGGAAAGAAATGGAAAGAGAAGGGAGGGGACAGGAGGAGGAGAGAGATGAAAATGGAAGGGAGGGAGGGAGATTACAACCATTAAGGATTCTTCTTTTTTTTGTTCTTGTTGCTTGTCATCTTTGTATAGATATCCTATCAATTTCTGTAGCCTTCTAGTTTGTTAATGACTAGTTTGCTAATCTAAACTTTATCTTCTAATATTAGAGATTCTCATAAATAAATTAGATCTCACTACTTTGATTTTCTTGGTGACAGTTACTATCTGCCAATTTAAATAAATAGTGCATGCAAATTTTTGCTTGTTTCACCAGAAAAGAAGAAAAAAAAGGAAAAACAAATAACTTCTTTCTTCATATCTTGAAGTTTCTTGAAGTGTCCAATGAGTATTAGAAAGAAAGACTGGCAATAGGAATTCATTTTGTGTCAATTTCTACAATTGCACCAAATTGTGTTCTCACCTATTCTCAGTATTTCTTTCTCTGTGATTTTTTTCCTTTAGAAATAAGATAAGCAGATTTAAAAAAAAAACATTAACAACCTTACTTGACTTGTAGGTTCTATAGGAGTGAAAGGAGACAAGTCAGCATTAGTCAAAAGCTAAACAATGGGAACTGCACTGAAAATGGTAAAGTTCATTCATTTATCTTTTGATCCACAAATAGAGGATATTCCTGTTTAATCTGCAAGACACAGACTTCTGTATTTCATACACAAAACAGCTATCTTTCCTAAACATAAAAAGGATTCTTTATATTCCTAAAGTAGTAAAAGTTTAGGACTACATTTGTTTTTGTAGGAAGGATTTCCCTAACAGAAACTGGTCATATTGTTCTACTACGCACCTGCTGAGTCATCGATTCTTCCACCAAAAAATAAAAATAAAAAACAAAACACCTTTCTTTTTGGAAATCATGGCAATCTGTGTTATATGCATATATTTTTGATCAACTAACAACTGTTATATCAATTGAGGTGTCTTTTAGTCATGAATAATACTCTTACTTGGACAATACATTTTTCATGTACCAATTGAATCACTAAGACAGTTTGTGAATGGGAAGTTCCACATCTCTTTGGCAGCCCAACACCTGCTTCCAAGGTGTTAAAGATGCTGACTAATCTCAAAGGTCTGCATGTCCCTAAATTATTATATACATTCAGTACAGAAAAGCATTCCTGGTTTATTGAGATCAGATCAGTGATGGTGAATTTATGACATGTATGCCAAAGGAGATACACCACCATGTTTTGGGTGACATGCCAGTATTCAATAGGATCCAACAACAAAAGCTTGCCCTATTCTTGGGTGATTTTCAGAAGCTGCAGAGACTGTGTGAAAATGGGGTGTGTTCTTGCACAAACGTCTTGAAATCATGCATGAGGCCCATGCTCTCACGTGGCTGCAGAACCTCTGAAAAAATCACAACAGAGTGATGCATGCTTTTGCACACTTTTGGAGACTTCAGAGCTACAGGACAGCATTCTCCAAAGCTGCTTCCAGGGTGAAGGCTTTGTGGGGCAGCCTCGGGTAGGCCACAGAGAGCTGTCAACAGAAAGAGAACACAACCTGAAGATACTATAAGTAGTGCGCAGCAAATCTTGGGGAGTGCTGGCCCACAGAAGCAATCACGTGTTGCCCAAGGCTTGCACATCTTGGAGAACAGCACAAGGTGACCTATTTGAGTGGCAATGTTGGCACTAGGGCTAAAGTCAAGGATGAAGGCTAACTTCACGCTATCAGTGAGTGCTGCTATTCAAAGTGGCCTAGATTGGTGGAGGTGGGGGGAATGTGAGAGAATTGTTTCTCTTTTGTTCAGGGAATTTGTGTTTATGACATGCTAGCAGAGTCAAATTAGGCATTTTCCAAATTTTTGACATGCCAAGCCCAAAAGGTTTGTCATCACTGATTAGACTGTCAGCCTGCAGACAAAGATTTTTTTCCATTAATTATGCATCAATTGCTTTGGGACTCTGTTTGCGGAAGAGCAAAAAATAAATAAATGCATCAAGCAAACAAGAAAATGGGTTACTATATTGATATTAAAAGAAAATGTACAGTGCAACTCTGGACTCTGAAAATTTTTCTAAACTACAGTTCTAATGTCTAATAGGTAAGCAATTACATTATTTCATTAATCATTGTCATTGGGATTAGGTTAGTTTGATGTTAAAAGTGAAGCAGTGAGCCTACAATTTGGTTCAGGAATTGTAGTTTGCTTCCTTTCTAAGTCTGTTCCATTGCAATTATTACCTCTTTGCCCCACAAAGGTTAGAAATATCTGTTGTTTCTACTTTTGCCCAAAGCAGAAATCTTTGGCTTTCTTCATTAAAGTAAAACATTTCAAACTATTCTTTCTATGCACAATATATTTCAAAGTATTGTGCATAGAATTTTTAAACATGGTTTCACTTCAATTTATTTTGGATAGAATCTTTTTTTAAATAGTCTAAGACAATTTAAAAAAAGAATCCACACAGAATTTTAAAAAATCCTATGNCCAGCCATAAAGCTGACTGCACGTCACTGAGAGATGATATATTTATTTGATAGAACATCTACAAAACAGTACAAAACAAAACAGGACACAAATTTGATCTAACTGTAACCACAGTTGTAACCCAGGTAAAATCAAGGAGAGAAAGATAATTCCTCAAAGCCCGATTTTCCACCAATAGGCCAATAAACATACATATTGCCATTGATCCAGTCTACCAATTGCAGAGAATGAAAGAACTGCATCAATTGCAATCCTGAAGATAGCATTTAAAATGAACAACAGGCACCCCAATACGCAACAACAAAAATCACAAACCATCAGCTCACAAGAAATCGGACCACGTCTCAGTAACACAACAAGCCATTCAAACAGACTGAAACCAGATGTTGACTCAGCAGTAGCCAAACAAACAACACTAATTTACATCACACAGAGGAACACAATTCAAAGTGCACTAATAATGTCTCCTTGAATGGTGACAAAACATTTGCAATCAAATTGCTAAGCTCGGAGCTCAGACCAACAACCCTACTACCAGCCTGAGCATTTATATTCAAATACATTTCATCAGTAACACTGATGAAATGTACATTATACATTTCATACATCTACATATACATCTACATTATAAGAAAAATGTTATCAGCAAACATGTTAATTTGGTTGTTAGTGACTCATTTAAAAGTGTCATATTTAAACTTTTACATAATAGTTCTAAAATGGGAATTATTATTTTGTTCAAAAGAGAAAAGTTTATTTGTAAGGTCCAATCCTATTGAGAAGGCAGGCCTCACACCAACTCCTATTAATGCTAGCTGGAATGACAAAGAATATAAAGGTTACAGACCAACATCTATCATTTATTTGTACCTATTATACGATGATATCTGAATCTCTGTTAACCAAGACTATTGTGGGATGGAAGCTCCAAATCATGACAGAAAGTTTATATTTAGATTCTTGGAATAGTAGCTTCATACTGCTAATGTAATGTTTTCTGTAATCAGCAATTACTGAAATAATAGATGTTCATATTCTTCAACAACACTTAATATTAATTGTGGAGTAAGACATGATATTTTAAAAAATAAATCATTATGAGAGCATTGTCATCAGGCCAAAGCTACTGGATAATACACTGGTGCTTTGTGATGTCACTGCTACCATAGAAACGATTAGTCTACACTGGGCAAACTCTAGATAAGAGCAGGAGAGCTTAGAAAGCTGAGAGAAGAGACAACATCTTGAGTCTGGCAGGGTCATCAGAAAAGCTCAGCTTCAAAACAGCATAATGTATACCCATAATAATGGACAGGAAAAGAGAAATCGACAAGCAGAGCCTTATCCTTGTGGAAGCAAAAGTTTAGAACAAATCATTTCAATGGATGACTGTGCCAAACTTATTATTGATGGTGCGTTAATGAAGATACAGCAGCAGCTACTGAAAAAAGCAAAACAAGGGGGCCAGTGTATGTCAAATAATCCTTTACTTGGTTTCAAACGTCAGGATTCCAGTTACGAGAGGACAGGGATGACCATGGGTGGAACTATCCCTAACTTTAGCCCTTCGAAACGAGGAGGGGGGTGGCAGGAAGCTCAGTACCAAGAATCAAGAAAAGAAGATATTTCAAGCATCCTCACATCAACCATCCAAAAGGTCATGCGTGAAGCTGTTTCTAATGTAGACAACAATAGCAACAACATGAATAGAAGTCTTCGGCAAGCCCCTCCTCCCGAAAGTAAACCT